TACGCAGGATTAAACATTTTTGCAGGTTTATTGTGGGACCTGTAGGTGGCCTCATTTTAATAGTCAATAAAACAAGAACTATTAGTTCAGTTTGCCAATGAGCTGAGCAACATTTTGTCTTCTTCTACCGAATTTGGAAGCTGATGAATTTGCTTCTAGCACCACTGAATACTCTGCCATTTGTTCTGTAAACAAGTGGGTATAGAGCACACTGATTTTAATTTGGCAAGTGCGAACATCTGTTTTGTTTTCATCCTTAAATTCCTTCAAGAATGGGAAGAGAGAGGGCATGATTTTGAAACTCTGAGTTAGGACCAGAAAAGTAGCTCATATAATGTATTTCGCTTACCCTCCCAGACCACGAGTGAAGGAGCAGAGAGGACTGCTGGCCATGCACTGATGTTAACCACAGACATCTTGTAACACACCGAACAGTAAGAAAAATTAATATACATCACATATTCTGTTAGACAAGGCCTAACCTCATGGCTTATGAAATTCAGTTGGGTAAACGGACTGCAAAACAAGGCTAAGTGAATTAGGACTGACACCTTTCAGTACAATCAATAGAGTACCAACATCCACATCCACGCGTGGTGTCACGTCTGTAACAATGCATTCTTCAGTGTCACCCCAACAGAAATGCTGACTTATGATGTTGTCTTATTTAACTGAGCCATTTTTGGGGTGAGAAAGAAGAGGAAATACAACGGAGCTTCACTAGTCCCACAGAAAGCTCCACCTCTGACAGCTGTTGAGAGGGCAGTAAGGTCTCATGCCCCGCGCTGGTACATTGGGCAGGTCCCATCCAGTGGGTCATTATTATCACTGTCTTGTGTTGGGCCACCGGAGGCAAGTTGTGCACTTCAGTTTTATGTTGCCTTTTATCCTGAGAGACAACAGAGCCTTCAGACGCCACTTACCTGTGAATACAAATAAGAGGCCAATGCATTACTTCACAACAAGCTCCCTCTCCTTTATTGGAGCAATGTCTTTGCCGCATAAATCCAGATGTCAGCCTACCACCATCCACATGGGCAATAAATGCTATAGCCACTGTGCTAAGGCCCCAGTTTTAACCAGTTCACATAACACACTGTATTTTTTTTAATGTATGAGAGCTGACAGAGCTTGTGAAAAAGGCTTATGGTTAAGCTGCCTTTCATATATGGAAGCCATATAGCTACAAGAAGAGAATCACAAAGCTGTTTGTTAACTGGCTTCGTGTCACTGATCCTGCTGCCACTGCTTCTCCCACCCTGTGGCCAGGGCACCCTGGGGGACAGCAGGAGCAGCAGGGAGAGCGTCTCTTACTAGAAATTTCCCTGGTTTTGAAGCAGTGGGGTGCACAAGTGTCTCAGGCACAACTGCATGCCATGCATTGCAAAACGCAGCCTGCCTCGAACTGGAGTGGAGCGCAGCACCGTCCCCCATCTCTGCTGCCCAGCCAGCAGCAGCAAGAGGACCACACGCCGCCGAAGATCTGCCTGAGCACAGCACCACTGGTGCTGACGGACTGGCCGGGTTATGCTGGGAGTGGAGGGCAAAGCCACCACGGGGCGTCGAGCCCTGCATCTCATTTTAGTGAGTACCAGTTAGTCCCTCATTTCAGAAATATCAAACTATTACAGTTCTGAGAGGGAACTACAGTGGATGGGTGGGAGGCAGAGGGCTACAAGGGATTAATTTTTGGACTAACAGGGATTGTACTAAACTTGTAAAACAAGTCTTCAGTGTGTCATCTGTCCTAGGACACTCTGCAATGTTTGAGATCAATTGGCAAGTGAATTAATTTTGATGTAACTGTCTGGTTCCCACAAACACAAACACGGAAGCTGGTTTGAAAACAGCCTGCAACTTCTTCCCCTCCATTGCACTAATCTTTTAAAACCCACTGCAGAGCTGATCTACTGAGCGGCATTAACCTGCTGCCTGTGGGGCATTCCAAACCTGCATCCTTGGAGATGAAACCTTGACAGAAACCAACTTTACAGCCAAATTCCTCCACTGCAGACTGAGCCTGGGCACTGCAGGTCTCCTATGGCATGCCTGCGACTCACCACATCCCACACCGCATCTTTTGGAAGCGGCCAAAACTTCTGCTAAGTAAAAGTTGAGCCTTTCTCTAAACATTTCCCCTCTCTATTGGGCTTGGGTGCTTGTGATACTCTCTCAAAAGCAGGTAAGTGCAAGGACACCTGGCACCTTGCAGTGCTGTGCCCCTGCCAGAAACCTGCTGGAGATAAAGTGCTGGATATATAATATTCACAGTAAGTTAAGGGAAAGCAAAGTCAAAGCAGTTCCCCAAGATGTGCTCCAGCTAGGGGCACAAAAACCTGATATAAGAACAGATAAATAAGGAAGCAGAACAGAACTATTTATAAAGAAATTTATTTTATATTTGTGTACAACAAATATATGAAAACAAATTTAATTTGAAAAATGTATATTTGATTTCTTAAAAGTATTGAACCCTCTCAAGGAAAGGTCTTAGTTATTAAAAAGGTACCGAAGGCTAAAATTATACTTGGATAATATATGTGTGTGTACATATATATATATAAAAAACATGTGCAATTTTATATATATATATAGAGAGAGAGTATATATAAATAACGTGTGACTTACATGATATTTTAAGGTATACTATTTAAACATCTGAGTAACAATAGAGATATTATAAAATATAGTTTGCTATTTCTACACAGTTTGCTTTCAGTTTTTATAAGCATCTAGACAGTGCAAAATTTAAACATACAGAAATATTCTCCTATTATTCTATACATTGTGCTCAGCTCCCAAGTTTCCTCTGTCATGATCATAACCAGACTGAACCAAATTTGGAGGGTTCAATACTAGCCCTTACTAGCATCTTCCAAGAGCAATAAAAGGAAATCTGTCTTACCTTGCACTGCACTGTGGTATAGTTTGCGCACAAGCGAGAACAATGCGTTTCCTATGTTAAATGGTCTAACTCCCAGAGATCACATACACCTCACCATATTGACTCATTTCATTGCACTCCATATCCTGCAAAAATAAATCTCCTCTAGGACAGCATACATTACTGCGTACTGAAGTTTAAGCAATATATTTCTTTAACATAAGGCAGGAATATACTGAAATTTGATAACACTTAAATCCAACAGCAATCTGGAATTAAACCACATTTATGTACCACATTTTTATAGATGCTGCCTTTTTTATGTTTGTCAGAAAATGTGGTAGAGAAAACCTACTTTTCTTTAAATAAAAGCAAGGGATAAAAGCAGTCCTTCTAGAAGAAATTGCTAAAAAACAATGGGACCAAGAGAAACTCAACTGCCTTGAAACACCAAAAGTCAGTCTGCACAACCTTTCCTGCAGCTGATGAGCTATTCCTTGCGTGACACCTGGGGGAATACTCATGTGAGTAGGTGCTCGCTACAGCAGAGTCTTAGTGTTTTAGCTCTAAATATTTATCATCCCTATTTGCATCTATTCGATGTTAAGGTTTTGTATGCTTTTTTCATGTCTTTCTTATGTTGCTAAAACAAGGCAATGCTGACCATTCTGTATGCTTTTACAGTAGCTATATTTTAACTGAATGATGTTTGTACTTTAGATAATGTTTATTATCACTGATATAAAAACCTCAATCCTGCTTCCATAAAAATCAGTGGTTGCTTTGCTCTTAGTTGAAATAAAATTGGATCCAAATACATTAGTCACGAAGTTTGCTAATAAAAGTAAATACTTTATTCATTAAGTCTCTCAATGCTTAAAGGCAAAGTGGTGTTAGCAAATACTGTATAGTATAGCTTAAAGAACAGTATTATGCACAACTCTAGACAAATTATTATTCAACAAAATCTAAAAGCAGCTGTGAAAAACACCTTATAGGACAGAAAATCTTGCTGCATGAAAATTTCTGAAGCTCTGACAGGCTTTTTTCAAATTCATTTCTTAAACCAACCCCCTCACTCATGTCCTACACCGCAACTGCACAAATTAAAGGCTGTGGCCTTGTAGGCAGTATGCATCCAGACCAGCTAATCTTTAAAATTGGATACTTCAGGAGGGTCTCCCTCTTCCTGCCGCCACATTCAATCCTAAACTCCCTTAAAGCAGAAACTGTTGTGTTTCTGAATCCTTGTAGCAACCAACAAGATAAAGAGCCTAGTGTCATCCCTCATCTACTTCACTTCTCAAGTTTATCTCTGCACTTGTCCATATAATTACCCCCTGCAGATTTCAACTTTAATTCAGATTTGAGTTACAGTTGCTGAACAGGCCTCACAAAAAGACAAAGCCTCATTAGTAGCCCACAGAAGTGAGCCTTACTAGTTAAAACCTTGATTTAAATACCAAACAAAGGGGAAAAATAGATGCTGAGACAATGTTTACATCCTTTCAACCACACCCTTGAAATTTTGGCAGTAAATTAGCCAAAGGATGGGCTTTACATCTCATCCATCTCTCTCAGTTGGAAAGGAACAGCCATGACTACAAGTTTTTGCAGGGTGCGGCTGATGCTGGGAGATGGCTGAATACATATGACCACAGGCTGCATGCCTCGCAAGTCAGAACAAAGCAGAGATGTGCTAGGAATTCAGGATTTTCTTATGCCCAGAAGTTTCCTATAGACTGGAGATAAACACAAGTCCCGTCTCCCACACAGAAAGGAATAGTGTTCAAACCTAGAGTAACACAGCACTAAGAGGAAACTAATAACTAATCATGCCAAAGCCTCTCAATTTAAGGATTCCCCAAAGCAATCTCAAAGAAAAGAAAGGAAAAGAAAACCTGTGGAGTCAGTCAACACATTTTTCAATCCAATTATATAGTAAATGCACCAGCAGGCAAGGCCTCAGTTCCGAAAAGGTGAGGAATAAGAAGGATGGTGCAAAATGCTTTCATACATTTAAACATTCTTAGGATATAAGAGAGCAGACAACTTAGAAAACATTCCTTGTAAGCTGTGTGGGATCGGCGCAGTTTTCTGCAGGCTTTGTTTTGTCCTACAGCTCAGCTTTGCCTGTTTGGGCAGGACTGGCGTTACCGCTGCCTTCTCCGGCGTTGTTTTTGTCTGCTGGCTTGAAAGATAACGAAGCAGAGTTTGTGCAGTACCGTTTGCCAGTTGGGCGAGGTCCATCATCAAAAATATGCCCCAGGTGAGCACCACACTGAAACAAAACACAATAGAGTATCACTGTCTCTGTGCAGCTTGACGGCATCCCCGTGCTGTTAAGCAATGACTAGCAGCCACTTCCAAGGAAGCACACTGGTGCCTACATCACCCTTTCAAGTGGGATTTACAACCTACTTTTATTTGCAAGAGTGATCCAGGGAGATGATCTTCTGAGATACCACGGGCACCTAAGACTTCAAGCCCAAACTTCCTGGGTGTTTCCCATTGTGCCACGTTGGGCCCCTATTTCTGAGAAGCCGCCTGTCTCTGTAATGATGTCATGGCAAGAGTTCAGTTAAAAACACAGTGGTGAGGGCAGCACTGCCCACGTTTCACTTGCTGCTGGAAGGATAGCTGTGTAAGAAAGGGGCAGCCTGAGCTTTGGGCTCTCCTCAGCCTGCAGCCATCTGTTATGCCCCTCGGTAAGAAAACACTAAACCCCTTGGTCATCCTGACAAGGACCTAAAGCAGTGAAGATACTCTTTGCAGTATGCCCTCATACTCATTTTTTTTTTCCTTCCACATCCTGGCGTTCTTCTGAGCATCAGGGTCCTTCTGCGTGCACCTCTGCTCCTCGTCCCTGCAGGGGATGGAGCTCATCCACTACTCATCTCATACTACTTTCTGTAGTATATAGGAGATAGGGACAGGTGACTGAAAAAGACCTGTAGTGAAGATATGTAAAATATTTCTGAATGAATAATATTTAGCTGGGAGTAATTATAAATAGAAATGCTGATGAATTTGCTTTTTGTAAGGAATATGAAATTACAGATGGTGTGTTGACACTTTTGTTTTGTATGATTCAGCCTCAGATACTCACAGTGGTATTCACCGTGAACACTACTGCGCCTGTGTATAAGAAAGGTACCAGTCCCTTGCTTTACAGAAGAGTACAATATTTTGAAGAAGCTGATCCAGTTGATCCTTATTCAAAAATTAGGATTACTGTCACTGCACATTATGGTTGACAACTTATCTGGATAATAAGAACTTCTTGTAATTAGTCACTTAAATTCCACAAGTTCATTTTTACAGCCTGCCATGAGAAATAAAAAAATAAAACCTTGCACTGCAGAAATATTTATCTTTAACAGGAAAGTCATGCTGCTTTACCAAAGAGCCTTGGCTTTTCAAGTCAAGAGCTGATCTCAGTGAGAGCCGGAATGATGTAACTGAGATCACAGAGCTGCTCGTGGGCTCACAGTCAGACAGCCAAAATTAAAGACTGCAAATTATTCTTAACATTTAATTAATTCATAGTGTCCCAAATACATAGAGGCAATACTGATTATTCCGAACCGTGAATGAGTTAGTGAGGGCAAATCTCTACCCTGCAGTTAATGTGTTGCTAATGTTCTCCTGCTGTTACGGCCCTTAATTCACCAAAGCAGTAGGGAGGGCGTCTGTAGAAGCTGGCAGAGTCTTGGTTGGCTTCAGGCTAAACTCTCTCAACAGACTGAAAGGCTCTCACACCAGCTAGGAGGGACAGAAACTCTTCTCATTTAATGACAGCTGAAATAACAACTCTCACAGACTCCGGGTGCAGGGCGGGCAGGCATGTGAAGCCCCCAGAGCTCCCACCCGTCGGTCCCATCCAGGCAGCCACATCCCAGGGCAGGCTGCCGGCTCCTGCAGAAGTGTCGCTGGAACAGCCATGGCAGCCCAGCAAGGACCCCAATAACAAACAAGGGCAATTCTACCCCGTGGTATCAGCAGGATGAGCTCCCAGAGGCAATGGGAAAAGGCATGGATGAGTTGGGGTAAGCAGCAGTGGCTTGGCTTTGTAAGGAAGGAAGACAAAACATGGCAAGTAAGGAGAAGGGAAAGGAAAGTTGCATGGGAACTAGAGAAGACAAAGCTTCAGGTCTTGTTCCTGAGAGATTGCTGTCTTGCCACCCCTTCCTCCTTTCTCCACTGCTTACTTAATTTCATTTCCCTTAGATTGAAGGCCTTTTTTAGGCAGTTTGGGCAGAAAACCTGAGCTGTTTCTCAGAGTGGGGTCTCTCACAATGAGGCATTTCACCTGATTATAAAGCTTTTCCATACCTTGGGAAAAAAAAAATCTTAAAAAACTTAAGTGTCCCAGAGAGAGTATTTTTCTAAATGTTCAGCATCCTAATTAAATCATCTCATCTCAACTAAGAATGTTTCAAAACCTCCTGGCTAGAAGTGTTAAACAGATCTTTTCCAGATTAACATTTAACCAAAGATAAATCATTCCCTCTCCACTGGACAGAAACAGAACAAGAGAAACCGTAGAGAGAAACAGTCTGCAGGAGCAATATACTCACATACAGACTACAAAGACAATCTATCAAAAAGGTTTTCCTCACAAAACCTGAGAAGTTGCATGAGAGTTCAAGGTAGCCTCATTACACCTTCTTGTGATGGCAGAATCACACCAGGATTGGATTACTGCAAAATTTGTTACCTTTTGAGATTACCCCTCACGAAAAATTTATGTGGCGATTCTCTCTGCAGAGGACTCTATAACTCATCTGCCCTGAAAAGAAATGTAATTCAGTTCTTTGTATCACAGTATGAGAGACGTGGCCCTCAGCTGAGAGTACAAAGGATGAATTGATTTTACTGTCCTCCACACACATAATAGGTTCCGACCATTTTTCTAGGATGTATATACGTGTCTGCAAAGCCTCCCAAAAAGAAACAATCATCGTTGCGGCCTTGCACATACATATCCTGGGCAGAATGCACTGGGACAGTGAAATGGTTAGAGTAAAGCATTTGAAGTATGTGTTTGGGAGCAGGAAAGGGGGGGTCACTGCTAACTGTCAGTATGCTTGGATCTCCCAAGCCTCCTGGTTCTAATATGCTGCTGGGAGGCATGGAAAGCAGCTTGCAGTCAGCTGCTGTAGCCGAGTCCAAGCTATCAATGTGCAAACAGTACTTCTGTGACTACAGAATTTTATTGATTTTTACAGGTACAAACAATAGCTAGGGAGACCTCAGGGGAAGGGACTCTCAAGCAGGAAAGAGAAAAAAGAGAGATGTAACCAGTTTTACAGTATTCCTCAAATGCATTTGTAATTAACTTCTACCTGTCACTAATCATTGACCTTTTAAATACATCCAGGGTGATGTCTTTCCAAAAAACTGTGAAAGTTATTTCTAGGATAATCCCATGGATGTCTTTGATTAATATCACAGCAATTTTCCCCCAGTGTTTGCTTTCTATAATGGAGAACATTAAAAGAGAGGGTTTTTTATTCTCTCAGGCAAGTGGAAGGACTTTTAAAGAAAAAACAACTACTTTTTCATCTGCAAAAGATTAATAAGGTTTTGGGTGTAGGAGAGGGTATTTCCCTCCAGTTCTACCAAGGCCTGCCGTATCAATCCCACTGCTTTCCAGGCTGCAGTAATACTGCATTTTTTTGCAGCTGCATGTGTGATTCACATTCCTAGGGCTCCGAGGAGGGGAGGAAATGGTTTTGTTATGGATACACAATGTGGCGGTATTGACTGTGCTGAGCAGTGGCTGCAAAGATGCTCACCATTCCTCAAGCTATTTTCCGGCGTGACTTGATCACCAGTGGGGTTATTGCCCAAGGAAGTTGGAGTAGCTGGTAGAAAGTTGCAATTGGATTACATAGCATCCTTGGTCGCATTTTTTTCTTAATGCTTTAAATTCAGGTTTTGGTTTTGCTTTAATTTTATGGTGTCTGCATGTGACTGCTGCTAATACTGCTAGTCTCAGATCTGCTAACGCTATTTTGTTTGGCAACAAGTAAACGACATTCCCAGATTCCTTGGCCTGACCACAAGCTGCCTTGGGCTTCTCTCAGGTGAAACCAGGAGCTCTGGCCATCTCTTGAAGGGTGTCAGCAGACACAAGCTCAGCAGGTTGGCAGTACGCTGATTTTAGCACTATTCAGGCCTACCAAGCAGAGCTGAAGGGAGTGGGCTGCATTTTTGATTATGCCAGTCATCACTGGTGAAGCACAAGATTCCCAGTCTGCAGTCCCATTGCTACCTTGCTAGGAAATTTAGGGAAATGGATCTTCCCCGAAAGTGTTAAATGGATCTTCTAAAGCATATCACCAATGTAAAAACTACAGAATTATGTAGTACATGTGACATACTAGCAGACACGCTGATTTGGCCATTAACATGTTGGGCCAAACCCTCTATCCAGACTGAAGTTAATGGATTCTCCATAAAGACAATCTTGCCTCTTTTTGAGAAACTTCTTAATTCACTCTGAGCATTTATATATGAGGACTGACTGACTAGTAAGGATGCATATCGTCAGGGTGAAATCAGTTAACCCTCCACCAATACTGTCAGGAAAGAGAACAGCAAATTATCACTGCCCAAATGAAGCTGCTGCTTCTCTCAGGAGAAGGGTGAGCATGAGGAACGAGAGGACTGCAAGCTGCTGGGTAGGTCTGCCAAACGCCAACGCAGCTGCTTGTCCCTTTGCTAGATAATGATTATGCCACTCCCTTCACAGAGAGGAGGGCAGCACAAAGCGTAAGAGAAAGTAGAACAAGACAGATAACGGAAAATTTGGGCATGTTTCAAATGACTACTGACTTCATTATTATGGCAGATGGGATTGTTTGAGGCAGCCATTAGGACTGCGCTGGGAATGAGTGTTGGGAATGAGTTAGCATGGCTGCACAATAATGCACAGTGATGGAATCAGCACACAGACAGTCGCTCCACTGCTTCTCACTTCCCTCTCAACGGCTCACGTGTGAGTCAGTCGGCCAGGTTCAGGCTCAGGAGCTCCTTTGAAGGGACTCTCTTCAGGAAGACAATTTTTGTAGACTCAGGACCGAGTCCAACCATTTTACATCTGCTCTGTTAAATCTCACATGAGACAACAACGTGCATTCCATTGTGCCTTCAGCTCGTTCCACCCAGCTGTTATACCTACGACCCATTGTGCTCTCTCACAATGATTACTATTTAATGGAACTGAAAGGTTTGCAAATCTTAGGGAAAGTACAGCACGCTGTAATGATTTTTGCAGCCTTTGTCATTGGAATGGTCCGTGTGTACTATAAACTAACCTGACTGCAGGATATTTCAATCCGATGCATCCCATAGGAGAAATCATCATTGAAAGTAATTGCATCAGGACTGATCACATCATAGAAGGAAGGCCAACCTGGAAAAGAGGAACAAGGTAAGTAAGAAAAGAGGGTGTCTTCGTGGCAGATGGCATTGCTTTCGCAAGACAGAATCATACTTTGAAAAATGTTTATCTCACTCCAGAGACTGGAAATAACTGAAATGGAGATTTTAGATCCTAAATCACTTAGGTACTTTGGAAAATTTCCCCCCTACATACAAAGTTGTTTACAGGCAAGGACTAAGGTGCCACTAGTTGCCCATCTTCCATCTCAACAGAGATTCCTGCACTCCACCACAAGCAGCGGTAGCAGTTTAGCTTGGGCACGAAGGTGGTTGCTCAGGTAAGCCAGATTCAGCCTCACCATCAGTTTAAAAAAACACAAATTCCACCCTGAAGACAAACAGTGAGACTTCATGGAACACAAGTGTTTTTGCTTTTGCAGTGGAAAGGTACTTTATAAAAGAGTTGGTAAGTTGCAATTCAGAGCTCCAGAACTTGCCTTAACCTTTGCCTTCACCAAGGCATGGTCACAGGCAGAAGGACGTGCTCAGACACTCACCCATCACATATCAGAGGCAGTGAGATGACTACTACTGTGTCTAATTTCAAAATAGTAGTGAGTGCTTCAGATCACCCAGGTGGACAGGTGGAGTCGTACCTATGCCTATATTAGACACTAGTAGATCGTCTACATGTGGTCTGCATCCAGGACAAAACAACTGCACTCATTAACACGTATGTTCAACACAGCTGCTAGCTCAGCGCTGAGCAGCATGACCTGACACCAGATGATGACAAGGTATATACCGGATCTACCAGTAACGGCCACTTATCATCTAAATAATGACCTTCCACTCTTTGACTATTCCATGCCAAGTCTCCTCCTCTGCACAACACAGGTAAAAAACAACGCAGGTCTATTCAGTGTCCCAGTAGATACCCATTACACAGCTGTAACTTTTCAGCCATCCCTCAAAAACCTGTCATCATATGCTCCATTTCCCGAAGCTGGGTTCCCACATAAGAACCTGATAGGCTGTAAGGTCATGTCAACATCTACCAGTGCCCATCTGAAATCCCACCAGCTATCCGTCCTTCTCAGTCTCTTACCAAATATAACATGCACAGTCAGCTCTTGCTCTCTCATATGTGTATTACACATATGACCATGTATACAGAACTTCCTTGTTTCTTCTTCTAATATCTGTTAAGCATTTGCTACTGATGATTTCATAAATGACTGGCAATAAGCTATTAAGAAACACAGCAGCAGCTGTGAATCACTGCATGCAGACAAATAAAGGATATATACAGCTTCCCATAAGGAAAGTGAGTAAAATTTCCTATACAGTAAAAGGAGGTGTGGAAGCTATCAAGTTTTCTCAATGTGGGTAAAGGAAGTGTGTAAACTGGAAAAAAATCCATATGTCTTCAGTTGTATCTTAAACCATTAAATATGGAAGAACACTTATTAGGATGCAAGCATAACAGGCATAAATTTTTAAGAAAGAAATGCTCAGAAATGCATTTCTCTTCCTTTTGGGAACATCCTTTCCTAAGCCTGCACCCTGAAGGCACTAGAAGCTCCAAGTCCTATGCTCCCAGGTTGCCTACTACTATCACAAGTGTTTCCACCCCAGAACTCACTGCAGAGTGAGTATTTTTTTTCCCCTGAAGTATTGCAAATGGAAGCGTTACAGACAGCAGACAGATTGAGGAGCAAGAACTCTGAACCGGGAAAATATGCCACAAGACAGGAACTCAAAACAGTGCAGCAGTGACAACCGTAAAAAAACAATTTAGAAATTCTTCCCCTCATGCAAAATATCCCTGCCAAACAAATACCTTCACAAACAGAAAAGGAATAAACATATGACAAGTTTTGCAAAAGGGGTTGTCCTGTTGACAGAAAAATTGATGTCTCCTAATTGGTGGCTCCTTTCCAACACCATTCGTCATCTTCTTAGCTGGGCCTCCGTCTAATGAAAATTGAGGTCTTACATAGAGCTGGTCAGAGTATTTTTAATGAAGCCTTTTTAGTTTTTTTAATTTAATAATTTTGCAAAACAGACGTATCAGTTTGCCCTTGTGTGATGGCAAAGAAGTTCAAAAGAGGGAGCTGTTTGGAGCAACCAGCTATCTGATCGTGTGAAAGCCTTTGGAGGAGGAACACTTCAGTGCTACAGAAATTCTCAAAGACAACCCTGCCTCCTCCATAACAGCAATAAGGGGGAAGCTTCAAAGGCTGCTCCACAGAGATTGAAGCAATCTGTGTCTTGCTGAGAAAATTATCTTGTGAGAAGGGTTTGGAGGAGACGTGTTTATGTCAGCTTTGACATTAAAGAAAGACCATCCATCCTCCTTTCTCCAGACTTTTCCTTTTGGTCTTCCCATTCACCACAGAAAAATTATTTGCTTTGGATGCACTCCATGCACTTTTAAAAAATGAAGTCATCTGAAACCTATATAAACAGGCAAGCTCCTCCTAAAGTAGCCTTTGTACCCAAATGGAGTGACTTCAGTTTAGGCTGTCAGTTCATGCTACACATGACACATGTTCCAAAGGCTCCACCACTGCCACATATGGTCCCCAACACAGGGACCAGGAAGCAGACTGTGCCTCCACAGGGTGGACTTTTACCTCTCAGTCAAGCCATCTCTTCCCAAGTGACACGGCGGGCCAGGCACCAGCACTACTGTGACGAACCAGTAACTCCATGAGGGTTGACTGAGAACTGAGCAAACCCTGTGACAGAAAAGGTCCTGAAGGGCACAGCAAGGCACACTGTCACTCTCTTGACCTTGAGAGGAAGACAAGTGAACTGCTCATTGAGTTGATGAGCCAAACTCACCAGGAAAATCAATCCCCCTCTGCTGTTTCATTTCCTCTCTCCTGAGCTAAAGTGGAAAACCCATTTGATAGTTTGCTAAGCCTTCTCTGGCCGTTTTCTCTACTTCAAAAGCTGCCAGGAACAAGCTGCAGAAGCCGTCTGCTTGCCTGCACATCAGGCAACTCCCTGTGACGTAGAAAGCCAAGAGGTCCCTGCGGACTCTTCATACGATCTTTCTGTCTTTGTAAGCGGTGAATGACCCAGCAGCGGCCTCCGCTTTGCAAGCCCCAGGCTACTTCTCCTGCTGTCCCGCTGGCTGCTGCTCCTCCACTCCTGTCCTCCTGAGCACCTGCCTCCTTCCTGCTGTAAGGCTGCAAAATGGCCAACTCGCTCTACTTTTCGGACTGCCTTTAGCCGTGCATTAAAGCTTCAGCCTGCCTTTGGAGGCTATCTGGCTACTTGGAAAGGGCTTGCTCCCGCAGGAATGCGGGGGAAGACGACCATTTTGGATCTCTTCTGCTGAGCTGAGAGAGAGGAACAGTCACCCTTAGCACTGCAGAGACGGAGGACGGGAGGAGACCCTCTGCGAACCCTGGGGCTGAGACTTTCTGCCAGGTGGAGCTCACCACATCTGGCAGGCAGCAGGAGCGGGGCCGCTGTCTTTTGAAGGATGGTAAAACATAACAGCTAGGAAGAAATAGCTGCTGGAGGAAAGGGGCAAAGGGTAATTGCAGGAGACAAGATGGGGGTGGGGGGAGTCTCCCAGCTGAGTGAACAACTTCAAATGACATTTGCACTTTTTTTTGTGTGTGTGAACAGCAGCTAAGAGTTGTGAATACATTTATCTTTGAATGTAAAGTTTAGTTTGAGGGAGAGTATGACACACTAACAGCAATTTTTATCACACTATAGACATTTAAAATGGGCTCATTCTTATTTTCACAACCACTTTGCATCACACTGGCAATATAAAAGGGCATTAAAATAAGAGTCTGTTGTGTTTGTGCTCACTCTGATGACCCTTTACATGGGAGTCAGGCCGCTATATCCTAAGGGCCACTTTCTGGTATGTTAATAAGCCAGCCACAGAGATGAATAGTTTTTCAGATATATAGCAAGTATCCTTTCTTGGATCTAAAATACACTAAATAAAGCAATGAAACTTTCTTCTGTCAAGTACTTAAGTGAAAACCATAAACCATGTGTAAACTGAACATTACTGACAGATCTTTTCCGGTCCATCCTGCATGAGTAATAGAAAGAATCTTATGCTGCTGGGTGTCACACATACTGAGTCATGTCCCATTCTTCCTCATTCTGGGACATCCCCCAAATATTTTGCAAAAGCTGCACAACGTTGCTAAAATTCACCCCATACCCCATCACCAAAACCAAATATTTTGTTTTTCATAATGGTCCCAATTCTGGCAAAGAGGAGACAGCGGTTTATGCCTCTTCATCAAAGAATGCTTTCTTCAGAGCAGAGATGGCCAGGTACTGCCCTTGGCAGCAACAGTGAAGAACAGGGAGGAAGAGAAAGGCTGGCTTTGGGAACCTGTGCTGGATGCTGCTTTTGCAGCCCTGGGCACGGGGTTTCAAATCATTCAAAAGAGGCATCTTCCTTCTCACTTTTCAGACCTCCTCTTCTAGGTGCCTGATGGAGTCCGTATTACTAACGAGCTGCCTAAGGTGGGCACCTATACAGGCAGTTGGCACAAGCTGGGTATGGCGACAACACAGGCAGCCAGCACACAGGAGTCCCAGACAGCTGACAAATGGAACAGTTTGTCTCCTTCTTAAACTGAGATGCTGAAGTAGCTGTAACGCCTGAGTAAGGCAGTGACAGCAAACGGTGTGCCTACAGTCCAGCCCCCTTTGCGCATTCCTGGTAGAGAGATGAAACCCCAGCAGGAGTACATCGTTTCTTTCACATTAACCCAGGAAGTTCTAAAAAACCTTATCTTGTGGGCTACTCCAGGACTCTTTTCTTGGGGCAATGCTGACCTCAAACTAAAAAAGAAAGACATTTTGTCTCCATAAACTTTTGGAAAGCAGTCCAGCTGTTGATTGATTGATCAATTTTAGAAGCATCTCAAACCTCCTTCCAGTTTTGCAAGTTTGCACACATTTTATTGTAGTTAGATCTCCAACTTCCTAATAAATGGATGCAAGCACTTAGACATCTAACCATTAAAATATGAG